CGATATATACGTTCGCAATCAGGAAGGGTAACAATCGCTGAACGGGCTAACGACGCAATACTCATGATTTCGAGCGGGCAGATTTTGGGGCCATTCCAGTTCTGAAGTTGCGCCCATTCCTGAATGCCGAACGCTCCCAGGGGTAACCGAAAAGCTTGTGATAGAGCACCCTTCTCTGCGGCCTTCATCTCAGGCGGCAGCGGCAAAAACTGCATCACGTAGCTCAACACCGACGCACAGCGCGTACTGTACAGCACTGACGAGGATGAGGCGGGTGTGTTGCCGTGTCCCACAGCAGCAGCCCGAGCACGATACTTCAAGCGAAGGAGGAGGAGGAGGAGGAGGAGGAGGAGGAGGAGGAGGAGGGAGGGGGAGGAGGAGGAGGAGGAGGAGGAGGAAGAAGAAGAAGAAGAAGAAGAAGAGAAGGAAGGAGAGGGGAGAAGCAACGATCAGGAGGAGGCATGTGGAGGAAGGAACACAGAAAGAGGAGAGGGAGGAGGAAGGAGGAGGGAGGAGGATGGGGAGAATGAGAAGGACGTGGGAAGTAAGGAAGCAAGGAAGAAGCGGAGGGAGGGAGGGAGGATTGCCCGAAGTAAGGAACGAAGGAAGGGGGAGGAAAAGGAGGAGGTGAAGGAAGAGGCGGAGGAGGAGGAACAGGAGGAGGAGGAGGAGGAGGAGTAACAGGAGGAGGAAGGGCGAGTACAGACGTCAAAGGCGTCACCAACACACCGAAATTCAAACCGATGGCGAAACCGAGACTGGCACAGATCGACGGGCCAAAGGCAGCCCAGAAGAAACCAGCGGACCGGCAACCGACCAAACTGAAGCGATCGAATGCAGCCAGCCGTCCGCGAAGCAGCTGAACCGACCGACAGAGGAAGAGAAGGAGGAGGAGGAGGAGGAGGAGGACGACGACGACGAGGAGCAATGCACCCGGCTCGCTGGAACCAGTCACACTTCAGACGGCATAGCAGATCCTCCTCGGTGGCCTTGGGACCCCTCTATTGAAGGTGCCCTGGGACACACAAACAAATACACACAAATCAAATAATTCCCCATATTTTCTCATATTTTCTGGGTTTCTGTCTTCCCCACCACTTCCTATATTTTCCCACATTTTCCTGGGAGCGGACGATTCATTGTGTCAGTGTGTTTTTTCTCCTGAACTATGCCTCGTCACCGGCCCCTGCTGAGCCTGAGCTGGGCCGACCCACAAGCCGCCGACCGCCCCCCCTTGGGGCTCCCGAAGCGCTGCGGTGGCAGACCGCGCGGCGGTGACCTCGGCCTCCCCAAAGACCACCGTGCGGCCTGTCGCCGCACGGCCTCGTGAGAGACCCTGCAGCCCCAGCCGCACCCTACGGCATCCTCGGAGAGCGACCGACCCGACTCCGAAAACCGCGCGGCGACCTCGAACCCCGAACCCCCACTGGCTCACCACACGCTCGACATCGCTCGGACGTCCATCTTTTGTGTTTTTGTTCGATTTCGTGCGCGTTTTTTCGCCAAATGGTCAAGGATGTTCCTCGATGGCCCTCGCCGAAGGAAAAATGCACACGTCCGAGCGATGCCAAACACGGTGTGGTCACCGCATCGGTTAGGCCCCCCGCTGCCCCCCCCCCTCCCAGGGCCGGTGGCCTTTAGGAACTGCGGCGGCAACTCATGAGGGCCTCCCATACCATCTCGTCGGCTCTTGCGGACCGACTCTAGTTGACGCTACATCGACGCTGGTCGACGCTACGTACGCTACATCGACGCTAGCCCACGCCAGATCGGGGCTATCCCATAGACTCCCAGACGCTACTCGACGACAGTCGACGCTAGAGACGCAATCGCGAGGGTATCCCAGGCCCCCACAGCTCCTGGCTTCAGGAGGGGCCTGGCTAGGGAGCAGTGGATATGTACAGAGTTCGTCGCCCGATGCTGCGGTCGGGAACTTTGCTCGGCATGTCGCGGCGGCGGCCCCCGCGACCCCCTTTGCCTTGCAAGCGGGCAGCGTGTGGCCCCGCTCCGCGGGGCGGGAGGCCGGGACCAAGTCAGAACGTTGATGCCTTCTGGGCTGGCAGGGGATGCGCACGAACGCGTTGGGTCAGAACCGGGGGAACGACACGCTCATCGCCACGGGTTCCGCAAGCGCGATGGAAGCCCATTGGCACGGAGCAGGAGGAGATGGAGAGAGGGAGGGAGGGAGGGAATGTGAAACACGGGGTAGCAGCTCAGCCCGGGAGCTGCTGGCATTGGCCTCCGTCCGGCGGCCTGGCCAGCGCCGCGCGGCGCGCCAATCCGCTTCGGCCCCCCACAGCCCCCGCTCCGCACGGACGAGAAGGAGCTCAGGCGCACGTTCCCGACCGCAAGGGGCCGCAAAATGGATGGGCCCCGCTTGGATGCGAGAATTCCCGCGCTCCGGTGCGATGGGCGACGCGCTGCGCAGACCTTCCCGACCGCAGGGGGCCGCAAAATGGGCACCGCTTGATGGGGGCGTCCAAGAGGAGGGGGGGGGTGGGGCGCGGCCCGGGAGGGGGGGGGGGGGGGCTGGGGCCGTATCGGAAAACAAGAAGAGACGCCATGAAATCTGGGGAGATATCATGGCCCCCGCCGTGACCCCCTCCCCCCCCCAGTCATCCCCCCCCCCCCCTGGCCGCCACCGATCTCGGATGCGAGTGTCCGTTCGGTCGGTCCGGCTGCCCTCGCAGGTCGGCCGCGAGCGGCCGCGTTCGCTTCGGTTCGGCCGCTCCGCGCGGGTCGCTGTGCCGCCGCTACTCTCGGGGCCAGCCCGAGAGCTTCTGCCTCCGAGCCTCCCCCCCATCTGTGGTCGCCCTCGCTGGGGAAACGGAGCTGGTCGGCCGATGTTTTAGGTTGTCGTCCCATCCGCGGTCAAGCTGAGGCCAGAAAGAAACGTCCTGGAGACCGACATCCGTTGCAAAAAACCCGGGCTAGAGAAAACCGCAACGATTGGGAGTCTGGAAACGTCAGCGCCTCCTCCATCATCTTCCCCTTCCTCTTCCTCCTCCTGCTCCTCTTCAACCCCCTCCCGGGGGTTGTGCTTTTCACGACGTGCCTCCCAAGAGGTTTCACCCTCCCCCTTCCCTGGGACTGGCTTTTCATATGTAGATCTGTGCATATATATATATATATATATATATATATATATATAAATATATATATATATATATGCTTCTCTCACCTGTTTTTGTGCACTCCGCCAGGGAGCTTGTCAGGCCAGGACCTCTGGGGGCTACTCAGGGGTTAACCCAGGAGTTGGGAGAGGTCCCGTCCCTTCAGCGGCCACCAAGGGCCTCCCAACCCGCCTGGCACAGCCGTGGCGCTTAAGCACCCGCGCTGCGTCCCAGACGCGCTGGGCCCTTGCCCCGCCGGGAGGTTAAACGTCACCAACCCCTGACCCCCTAGCTCTCGTCCTGGCAAAAACTCGCGCGAGGCAGGCACGGCCACGCGCGAGACGGTAGCAATGCTGCCCCCTGTCTGTGGGTGGGCCAACACAGCCACGGAGATGGATCTATCCATCAACGGCGTCGCGCACGCTCAGGTGGACTCCGCATAGGTTTCCTTGGAAGGTTCATATATGCTACTCTCACCTGTTTTTGTGCACTCCGCCAGGGAGCTTGTCAGGCCAGGACCTCTGGGGGCTACTCAGGGGTTAACCCAGGAGTTGGGAGAGGTCCCGTCCCATCAGCGGCCACCAAGGGCCTCCCAACCCGCCTGGTACAGCCGTGGCGCTTAAGCACCCGCGCTGCGTCCCAGACGCGCTGGGCCCTTGCCCCGCCGGGAGGTTAAACGTCACCAACCCCTGACCCCCTAGCTCTCTCCACGGTCCCTACCCTGGCAAAAGCCGCTCCTTCTTGCTACTTATGCCCTCCACCTTGGTGTAATGACATGAGGGAAGAAAGGTGGAGGATGGGCGGGACAAACAGACAGGCAGCTCAAAGCAAGAACAGTCCATCTCGCCTCTGCTCGCAGGCATGTGCGAGCAGGTTGCAGCGCCTCCGCTGCGCGGGCGAGAGATTTAATTCAGTGGCTTCGGCGACGGCATCATGGACGTAAAAGCGGGCCGTGCGCGCCGATGCCATCTGCCTCGGAGCAGCGTCTGCTCATGGAGCTGTGGCTGCGGAAGTCGGCGGAGGCGCCTCCTGACGCCAGCTGTAATGAGTGAGCTTGGCATCTTGCAGCTCCAGCAGCTCACGTACGCGGCCGAAAGTGGCATGAAACTGCTTGGCTCCATCTCGAGGCACCAGCCTTGTCCGTGCGCCTGAGCCTTTGCTCTGGCAAGGAGGGTGACCGCTACACCGCTCCGCACGAGCACGAACTGACGGGCACCAGTCTAATGCTGGCTCTTGGTGCTGCACAGCTGCAGCACGGTCATTTGGCGGACTGGATACAGCTGTACATCAGACCACGCGAGCGAGGTCAACTCCCTTGCCGGAGGAAAGCGTCGTAGCCTGCTGCCAGCACCGCCGCAGCGCCACGCTGGCCCACGGCCGCCAATGCACCTGCGAACGCTGCTGTAGGACTGATCGGCAGCGCGCGCCCAGCTGACTCCAGGCGTTGCCGTTTGGCCAGCGCCAGCTGTCCCACAGGTGCCCTCGCACGGGCGGGAAAGCGTGCATGACGCCTGGAATTGCATTATTAAGTTCAACTAGAGATTCTCCGCTCAGCCAACGGCTCCCGATGAAGGCGGCCACGCCAGCGTCGACCTGAGCGGGCGTCTGCGGCTGCCGGTGCTCCTGAATCCAGAAAACAACGACCTCCTCGACCGCCACACGATGCCGCCGCAGGGTGAGCGGCGTGACCAACGCCCCCTCGGCGGCTGGGACCTCGCTGCAGCTCGTTGCGCCGTCGCCTGGGCCGTGACCCGGCTCACCTTTGCTGGTGCTTGCGCTGCCCGCTTGCCAGGGGCGGCTCTCCTGGCTCTCGCCGGCGGCAGCACTGGCAGCGGGGCAGCGGCGGCCGAAACCCCAGCGGGGCGGCGTGTCGGCGGGCATGTCGACGGCGTCCCAGTACTTGTACAGCGGGTACCTGGCCGTCGCGTGGAGCAGGGAGTTGAGCTGGCGGAGCGCGGGCTGCAAAGCCCTCACGCTCGATCTGCCCTTGGTGCTGACTGCCGTGACCGGTTGGGCATCCAGAAAGGGCAGGCAGCGGCAGCGGTGGCTCTCACCTGCTCGGCACCTCCAGCGTGCTCCAGCCACCGCAGCCTCCAGCTCCAGCGCTGAGATGTGCCCGGGCCGCTGCCAGCGCAAGCCTGGCTGCTGGAAATCGGGGATCACGTTCCAGCTCGCCTCGGGCACGGGCAGTTGGCCCCGCTGACGCCTCGCGTCCCAGATGAGGCTGCTGTCCACGTAGTTGTCGACCTGGTAACGGTAGCTGTCGGCAGCCCAGCGCCCCGCGGCCAGCACCGAGGCGCAGTCCGGGCCCACGGGCCGGAACGGCGGGTGGCGTCCCGGGATCGGCCTCGTGAAACACGGGAGGTCCGCCTCTGGGTCCAGCGTCGACCAGCCCTCCAAGACCGAGGCATTCAGTGGGAGCCTCACCACCACAAGCAAAACCTCGAAGCTCGCGGCCTCCCTCACGCCTTTGGTCTCGTCAGTGACGTCGGACGCCGTGAACGCCGTGACGGGCCACGAGCTCCAGTACAGGCGCGGCCGCTTGACGTGGGCGTGACACCTGGGCCCGAGGAACACGGGCGTGACACCCAGCGCCCTGGAGAACTCCGCCCTCGACTCCAGGGTCATGCTGGACACGTTCCCGACAAACACCATGGTGCGCTCAGGACAGGCAACCTCCGCTGCCTGCGTCAGCTCGGGGACCGTGAAGAAGAGCTTCGGCCTCGACCCCTCTAGGTCGGTCCCCGCGACATTGATGCTTGCAAGATCTTGGCTCGGGCTTCCCGCGCTCAAGACGACCCGGTCGGCGTCCCGCGCGTAACCCTTCAGCATCTCCGTGAACCGCACCGTGTCGACGGCCTCGACGTTGCCAAGCTTGGTCACGCCCGCCCAACGGCGACGCACCAGTCGCCAGGCAGCGGGCTCAACCTCGCAGCTGACGGGGGCGATCATGTCGATCGGGAGTCTGGAGGCCTCCACCGCGGCCCCAGCACCGCCTGCGTAGAGCTCGATGAGAACGAAGCGAGGGCGCCACCGCGCACCACGCACAGGAGCCGCAACTGCATCAGGCCGCAAAGTCACTGCTGAAGCTCCTCCCCTCGCGCAGGCAACGCCCTGCGCCGAGAGCCCAGCCGTGTGGCAGATGTCCCCAGCGCGCTCACTGGCATCGGTCGCGATGTCACAAATGACGATCTTTGCGCGCAGGTCGGTGTATGCCAGCGGCAGCGCCATCGCGAAGCCCAAGAGCTCGTCGCACATTCCAAGGGGATCAGCCTGCGGTCGCGTCCAGCACCCAGCAGCCCCCACGCTGTTGAGGAACCCCGTAGAAGGCCTCCTGAACTCCGCTGCCCTGACGCACCTGCCCAGGACCATGAGCATGCCCTGCGTCGAGAGGCCCTGTCTGCCCATGCCGCACAGGATGAGCGCGAGCGTCCGGTGCAGCTTCTCGGCCGTGACTCCGACCTGGCCGACGGCCCCGTCAAGACCTGCGCCCATCTGCACCAGGACCAGCGCGCGGCGCTTGACCTTGCTGGGGGCGTCGCTGGTCCCCGAGCCGCCGTAGGCGGCCCTCTGCTTCTCCGGGGCGCAGCTCACCGTGCCGATGAGCTCCGCGTCCAGCGCGCTGGGCACCCCCTCGCCATGGTCCCAGTCGTCGATGCAGTACTGGACCCACTGCTGCTCGAGCTCCTTCGACTTGATCGGATGTTGGCGGTCCCTGTGCCACTCGAGATCCGCAGGAAACCCTGCAGCGAGGGGGCGAGCGCCGCCCCCGAGGCGCCTGTGGCAGTGCTGAAACTCCGTGTCCGCTATGATCCAGCCCAACGGGAAAACGAGCAGCGCGAGGTGTGTCTTCCCTGGACCCGGCACACCGATGAGCTCGTTTGGGATCGCCTCTGCGAGGGCCATGTGTGGCTGCCAAGCCTCGGGCAGCTCGCAGCCGTAGAAAGCGGAGGCCAGGTCATCTGAGGACCCGAGCAGCATGTGCCCCTATGGGAGCGGGACGGCGACCCCCGAGGGCGATGCACTTAGGGTCCCAATGCCGTCCTCCATGATGCGCTGGTAGCTGTCGGCCGAGACCATGTTGATGATCAGGCGCTGGACGCACGCCTGGCCGGGTGACCGCGTGCCGCCCTGGGCGACCCTGAACGCCCCAGCGAGCACCCTGCGGCTCCCGACCTTGAAGATGCGGTCGTCGGCGATCGGCGCAGCCAGCCCCAGCTTGACAAGCTTGGTCCCGATGCGGTACCACTCCTGCTTGGACGTGACCTGGATCGCCGCTTGCGGGACCTCGGCAGGCGACTCATCCCGAGGGCGCAAAGCCAGCGTGGGGCCGGCACGCCCGGCGCCCGCCTGAGCGTCCGCGAGGTCGACCGCCTTGACCGATGCGGGGTCGCCCTGCGCGGGGAGGCCTGGCATGTTGCCTGCAAGCGAGAGCGGCGGGGCGCGGGACATCACCTTGCCCCCGTGGGAGACGGTCTTCGACGCGATGACCTGGTCCCAGTCCGGGAGCTCGATCGCTGCGGCAGGATCCTGAACGAAGTTCGCACACCCCTCCTGCACAATGCCGAGCGCACTGACCAGACCTGCCGTGGGCCGCACTGCGGCGTCGGTTGGACAACGCATGTGCCCCATGTACGAGTAGTTCAGGCTGAAGTTCACGAGCAGGGCCCGCCCCTGCGCCGCGGCGGCGTCCACCTCGCAGGTCTCCGACAACTGCTGGTGCAAGTACCAGGCGGCACGGTGCCTCTCGAAGAGTGGGGCTTCGGGCAACGGTAACGGCAACACCTCGCGCAGCCGCGCGAAGCTGGCCGTGGGGTCTGGCGAAGTGCACATCTCACAACCACACCGCCCGATCGCCCCTGGCAAACCGTGCACCGCCTCGTGGACCGCGAGAGGGAGCCTGAACTTGGAGCTGACACCTGCGCCCACCTCGGCTGGCATCTGGCGCCACCGCCGCGGCTGCAAGCTGCCGCGCAGCTGCCGCTCAGGCGGACGGAGGGCAGGCGGGGGCGTGCGCGAGGCCGCGGCCTCCGCAGCGTCGGTCCTCACGCCTGACCCCGGGCTGTCCTGCGAGCAGCGCTTGTGCCGCGGCTCTTCCCCGTCTTGCCTTCGCCGCGGCTCTTGGCAGCCGGCGGCCTCCCAATGCGCGCCTTCCACGCCGCCTGGGTCTCGCCCTCGCGCCTCGGGTGGGCCGCCTTGTGCTGCGCGAAGCCCCGGCCCATAGCCGCGTCCGCTGGTGGCACGCGGGCGGCGGCAGTTGCGTCGAGGTCCCCCTCGAAGTCGCTCAGGAGCTGGTCCGACCGCGTGGGGCTGCAGCTGGTCCTCCGCGCTGCTGGCGGCTTCTTCCCGGCGCGGAGAGCTGCGGGAACGTCGCCTGGGACTCGTGCGGCAAGGATCCTCATCGCCTTGGCCGATCCTGAGACTGGCGTCCCGGGAGCAGAGGGGCGGGCGGCGCGCCTCCGCGCGCCCATGGCCTGCAGGTGCCGTCCTCCCCAGCAACGGAGACGGCTCCCGGCCAGGCCCCCAGCCCGGCCTGCGGTCTGCAAGTCGCTGGCGGAATTCGGCGACCTTCAGCTCCCGGGCCTCGACCTTCTCGGCAGCGTTCTCTTCGCCCAGAGAGGTGCCTGACGGAAGCTGTTCCTGCGAGACCAGCGTGAGCCATCGCGCCGATTGCCAGTTCCCGTCGCGGATGCCCATCGACCGCGCCTTGAACCTCAGCATGACCAGATCCGCAGTCTTGATGACCTCCCTGCGCACGATGCCGTCGAGCGCCAGCCCTGGCGGCCGGAGGACCCGCCCCTCGACTGCCCCCAGCGTCCGCGGCGGGTGAGCAACGAAGAGCCCCGTGTACAGGAACTGTGTGACACCTGGGGCCAGCAGGTCGGCCTCGCCTGCGGACAACTGCTGAGTGAACTGGCTGCACAGGTGGCCAAGCCCATTCACGAGGAGAGCGTCGGGCCGCTGTCGAGCGATCCAGCCGAACAAGTCGCGCTTGCAGCTCACGCCCTGGTAGCGGTCGCAGCCCCCAAGGCGCTCTGTGTCGCTCTCCACGCCGTCCTCCACGTCGTCGTCGTCGCGGTCCAGGAGTGCCGTGGTCACGGCCGATGCTGGCCTGCTCCTCCTCCTCGAGGCGCCAGTGCGCGCTGGGGCAGCAGCGGCGGCTCGGCCAGCAACCTCCTGTGCCAGGCGCTCGCCTATGGCTCCTGCCGGGCGCGCAGCGTTCTTGGGCGTGCCCTGCCTCGCCACTCCACGAGCTGCCCTGCCCTCCAGCCGCGCCAGCCGCGCCTCGAGCGCGGGGCCCTCGGCGGTCTCCTCGAGCCCGGCGATCTCCTGGTCGAGCGGGCCCGCCTCTCCTGGACCGCCCGGGGTCTGGGTGCCCTTCACCTCGCGGGCGCACATGTGCGGGGGCCCGCGAGGCTTCTCCTTGACTTTGTTGCCCCATCCCCGAGCGGCCAGCCGCCGAGCTCTCCAGGCAATGGCTCGGCCGCGGGCGAGGCGGTCCGCACAGGCGCCCCCGGATCCGCTGCTGGGCAGATGAGCTTCGCCCGCTCGCGGGCCACGCCGCTGTGGCCCATCACCTGCCACATGTCCAAGTGCTCGACCACAGCGCCAGCTGGAGCGACCGTCCCGCACTTGTTGGCGCTGCACCTGCAGAGGTGGAAGACCGTGGCCGCGCGATGTGCGCCCCGCTGCCCGCAGGAGGCTGCCTACCATGAGAAGTACGTGTCGCGGGCGCCCACCTGCCGGGCCTTGATGAATCTGCCGATGGTGTCCGCCTGGTAGGCGACCTCGACCTCGAGCATCTCGACGCCCTGCGGCGCCGCTGGGTCGTCCTAGACCCGCGCCAGGACCCGTGCTCCAGCCCTCGGCGGCAGCCCCGCCACCAGCTCGCCGTTCAGCGCCGCGTCGAGCCAGGCTGCACTCGAAAAGGGCCAGCCGCCGGCAGCTGGGGCTGCCCGCTCCATCGGGCTCCTCGCCAGCAACTAAGCGGGAGAGGGGCGACCCGCGCCCGGGATCCTCGTCTCCCAGCCAGGTCTTCGCTCCCCTCAACCCGCCAAGGCTGCCAGCGAGGCTGATCAGAATCAGTCGTCGGAGCGTGGCCCTGCAAGCGGCCGCGCGAGCGCGGCAGTCTTACAGTAGTCAGAGTGGCTCGGCAGCGGCCACAGACGGGCGGCACCGCCCGGTGACTCCGCTGCCTGTCCCAAGCCAACACAGCTACGGAAGATGGATCTATCCATCAACGGCGTCGCGCACGCTCAGGTGGACTCCGCATAGGTTTCCTTGGAAGGTTCATATATATATATATATATATATATATATATGTATGTATGTCTATATATGTGTACTCAAACATAATGTAAACATCGTCCCCACACTATTCTTCGGACTATGTTCGAATGTCCCTCCAGCAGAGGGACGGGCCCGGCTTAACCGTACCAACTTCGATCGTCCTGAGGCGCGGCGGCCCCGCGGCCCCGCGGCGGCCAGGCGCTTGCCGACGCGCCCGAGGCGCCTTCGCTGGGCGTG